ATTTTCCCCTTCCCCCCCCCCCCCCCAAAAAAAAAAAAAAAAAAAAAAAAAAAAAAAAAAAAAAAAAAAAAAATAATAGGAAAAGTGTGTGTGTGCTTACTGGCAGACATGAGATCGATTGCGCGATTGCCGAGCCACTTGAAGCCCGTCAGGGTCTCGTCAAACTGGCAATGCGCCACAAGGGAGTAAGAGCTGGGCCGAAGCGATTTCAAGTCTAACATTTTGCCAACGCTGGCTCTGTGGGATATTGGAAGCACGGGTATGTACCTGGAAACCTTCAACATTGGCCATGGTCTGCAGCATTTTCGAGGACACGGTGCTGGCGAGCATGAACACATTATCTAAATGCACGCATCAAAGTCAAAGCCAATCTAGAACAGGTCTCCAGCGCCGCCTGACGGCCGAGATCCGAGAAACTGGCCAGCCAATGCAATCCAGCAGCCGTTTGCGCCACTTACCCATGGATCCACCAGGGTGCTGAGTGCGGTAGTTGTGCACGAGCCACCACGCAAAGAGGCTGCCAATCTCGTTGCCCGTCAGGATGTGCCACTTGCCATCGTGCAGCACGGCAATGGCCAGGCGATCGGCATCTAAGCCCGAACAGACCGAGTCAGTAATTTTGAGCCAGCCTGACGGCCCAGGGACAGCCTTGCAACAAAATCAGCCGGTTCATTGCACCAACCGGGGTCATTGGCGAGAATGAGGCCAGAGCTGTGACGCTCAGCCGTGGCCATGGCCAGTTGCAGGGCCCCCTTGCCCTCTTCCGGGTTGGGATACTCAACAGTAGGAAACTCGGGGTCAGGTTGGACCTACTCGATGTGGGGGACAAATGAGGCGGTGGTACGAAGCAAAGCTCGGCTCAGGCATACTTTGGGCTTTCGATGAAATACTGTACGCCAAGCAAATGGAAGAATTTGAGAAGTGTTACCTGCTCAGCAACGGGGATAAAGCCCGGGAGGCCAAAGGCCGAGAAGACTTGCTCAACGTAGCGATAGCCGACGCCTGTGGAATGCAGACGCAAGTCCATGAGTGTGAGCATGCACTCCTTTCACCTTGAGAGTCTTTCATGGGCATTGGGCAACCACCCCGGTCCCTTCCAGTGCCAAGGCGTACCGTGCATGGCGGTGTAGGTAATCTTGAGTTTGTTACGATCGATGCTGCTGGCCAGATACTGCTGCGAGCTGATAGTGCCAGTAGGGGTGCACGAGATGTTCACAAAGCAGTGAGGTGAAGCAATGAGCCTGCATGTGTACACCATTGTCAAAACATCTGCATAACCCGGCCCTTCGGCTCTGATCGCTCATCTGGAAGGGCCGAAAGCCTACCGGGCGGCTTGGAAATAGGCGTCGGAAATTTCTGCCAGCGCATCAACGGTGTCACCTTCAGTCAACGGATCCCACGCCTGGGGCCTGAAGCGAGGGGCAGAGAAAGGGCAAGCATCCAGCAAACCGCGCGAAAGGTGACCAAAGTGCATGTGAACACAAAAGCAATCAATGCTCATGAGCGAGGCAAAGCCAGTTGTCTGACCAGGGCTCGAGGTTGTCCTCAATCTTTGCGGCAATTTCTTTGTCGGTCGGGCTGATGATTTGCGCAGCATTGGACCAGTAGACTTTGTAGCCGTTGTCCTGCTTGGGGTTGTGCGAGGCCGTGACCATAATACCAGCGGCGCACTGCAGGTGGCTCACAGCAAAGGGGATAAAAGGTGTAGGCACCATTTCTAGCGTGGTTTCAGGGGCAGCGGGTTAACACATTAGACCATGTAATTGTTGTTGTTGTAGTTGTAGTTGTAGTTGTTGTTGCTGCTGCTGCTGCTGCGACGGCGGCAGTGCTCAAACTAGTCAACCGGTGTGGCATGGCAAACAGTGGCGGACACACCTCCAAAGAGATACACTTCAGCACCCAGCTGCTTGAAGGCCCGGGCGGCGCGCATGGCAAAGCGGGAAGAATTGTGGCGACCATCAAAGCCAATGACGACTCGGAAGGCCAGGTGGTTGTTGGCAGAAGTGTGCTCGAGAACGTGTTTGGCGAGGCCCTGGGAGGCCTGGATCACGGTCAAGTCGTTCATGCAAGCCCAGCCAGCTTGCATGGGCGCACGCAAACCTGAGGAATGAGCGTGGAGAGGTTGTGAGGCCTTGCCGCGAACCCGACGAGGCTTGCGCAGAAGAGGTACGAGCAGCCACGGATGGGGAAAAAAAAAATAAACCAATGGTCACAACCACACACCAGCCGTGCCAAAGGTCATGCGACTGCCGAAGCGGCGCTCAATTTCCTCCGTGTCCATCGAAGCAAACAGGCGCTTTGCCTCTTCCAGGGTATCCGGGTACTGTTGGTTTGTCCCAACGGATGTCAGCAGGATGCGTCGTGAGTGAGTGGGCCAGGTCAGCGTGTTGGCAGGGTGGCGCCTTCGGCAGGGCCAGACAGCGCACCTTGTCATATTTGAGCCAGAACCCACATTGCTCCTGCAGCTTGGTATCCATCTTGAATGGTGTTTGCTCGTCGCAGGTCAATCCTTCACGCACGCACGCAACAACGCAGCCGCCAGCACCAGAAGGTCGTCGTTGTCAGTGGTGCAACTCAGCAGAGAGCAGAAAATGACGAGACGCAGAGAGAGAGTTTGAGAGAGAGAGAGAGAGAGTTTGAGAGAGAGAGAGGTGGATTGCGTTATTTATTTATTCTTCGACTCCCTCATCAGAAACTGCAACAAGTCGATAATTTATGACGTTGAATGAAATTGTATGTGCATTGAGAACCACATTAAAGTCTTCACTACTGAAGATAACCTTCTTCTTCAACTTGATAATGCTATGCGAAATAGTAAACGGTTAAAGCTAGAAAAAGATCATTAAAACATTTTATGATTTCGCAGAGCACTCAGCACAGAGGAGCTGCTGTTTGTCAGACGGCCGATGTCAGCCTTTTTCAAAACATCAACAGAGCAGGATGGCAAGGCAGCAAGTGAGCGCGATCCCTACGGCCGCGGTTCGTTCGGTGCGGGCGGTGGGCCTTGTCCTGTTTGCCTCGATGGTCTTGAGCCGGCAGAGGGTGCAGGGGGTACCACAACAGCGACAGAGCAAGGTTACCGTTTATATGGATGCGCAGACACCAATGCATTACATGTCGCTCGCTGATGCGCTGACAGATGTCCGCGCCCAACCGCACAGCGCCACGGCCCGCCTGCGTTTTGAGCTGAGTCCTGGCACGCATTCATTGCAGCAGCCCCTAGACTTCTCAGGACTAGGTCCTGTTGAGCTACACGGCCACAGCGCCGCTTCAACTGTCCTCAGTGCGGGAACGGAGCTCAACGCCAGTAACTTTGTAGATCTTGGAAATGGTATTTTCGAGCTGCATCTTCGCGCTGCTGGCCTGACCGATTACGGCACGCTCATCTCCGGTGGTCTCAAGGACTGCCAAAACAATAAAACCGAGCTATTCGTCAACAATCAGCGCCTGTGGCTTGCGCGCTGGCCCAATGTGGCTGCCAACGGCACCTGGCAATGGGGGCGCATCGCCAACGTTACCGACGCGCAAACCTTTGTGCCCGAAGCCTCGGCCCCCCTCACCGCGCTGGCCCAGGATCCCGATCTCTGGCTTCATGGCTATTGGGTCTACGACTGGTCCGATGAATTTGTTGCTGTTGCCAATGTAAGCACCAGGAACGGCACCATCGCCATGACGACTAGCACGGCCACCCCTCAGGTGGGCGGCCGTTGGATGGCCATCAATGCGCAATCTCAGCTCGATGCCCCTGGCGAATACTACATCGACCGAGCGAGCGGGCGGCTGACCGTCATGTTTCCACCTGGAGTCCACCCATCCAATCAAGACTTTTCGGCGGTGCTTTCCACCCTACCTCATGCCATCTTCACCCCCAATGCCACGGCATTGCATCTGCACGACCTCACGGTAGCCTATGCACGCGGGTCCGGCATTGTCCTGCCCGATGCACGCGGAGCGCTGCTTGAGCGGCTTGTGGTTGCCAACCATGGCGGTAACGGCACACAAGTGCATGGTGTAAACAATCAGGTCCGCAACAGCGACTTTTTTAATCTCGCATGCATGGGCCTCAGCGTGACCGGCGGCAACCGCACCTCCCTCGTGCCCAGCAACAACGTTGTTGATGGCAATCACATTCACGACTATGCGCTTTGGAAGCGAACCTATCAGGGTGGACTCTTTTGGGCTGGCGTCGGTAACAGCTATCTTAACAACGTCATTGAAAATGGTCCTCATAATGGCATCTTAGGTGGAGGCAATGAAGCCGATCATCTGGGCGGGAACAATTGCATTTTTGTCAACAACACGCTGCGACACCTGGCCTTTGAAACGACGGATACCGGCGCCTTTTGTGCGTGAGCAAGCATGTAGCGCCACGATTGGTCCACGACCTGCTTGTGCACGCGTCCCAGTCCGCTCGCCACCATCACTCAAACCGCTCACCATGCCTTGTCCCTGGCACAACGCTGCATGCATGGACACCGCCTAGATTCATGCGGCCAAGACGGACAAGCCTGGATCAATCGCGGCAACGTGATTGCAAACTGCACGTTCATCGACGTGCGCATGCACGAACCCACGGCGCTGGGTTACTCCTCGGTGCAGGTATGTCCCTCCAGCGGCTCGTATTTGCCATGTTCCGCTTCAGGCAGGCAGGGATTCATCCCGTCGTGCCTACTGCCTGCCTCTGGAACTGCATAGGCCATCTATCTCGACGATCAGATGACGGGCTGGACTATTGTTAATAATCATTTTGAAGACTGCCAAAAGGGGGTCTTTGTGGGGGGTGGTCGGCAAAACATTGTGTACAACAACACCTTTATCAACGTTGAAACTGCCTTGCACCTCGATGATCGCGGGCTCAGCTGGCAGTCCGACTCTTGTCAGCCACCGCAAGGACCCAACTACGTCAATATAATGGCCTACCGTGCTCTGCCCGCATGGCAGGCCCAGTACAATATGACAGTTGATGATCCTTGCATGCCCGTTCAAAACAGTTTCGTGGACAACCTGTGCTGTCATTGTGGCAACGTGAGTGATTTCACAGCGGGTCAGGCAGCACAATGGCACACGGCCTTTGCCAACAACCGGGACAGCTGTTCGTTTGTGGAGCTTCGAAACCCGGTTTGACCTTTTTGGGTAATGCTGGAAAAAGTTGACTGGCATCTGATAGTTGATCGAATTGTATCTGGCCAATAACACACTGCGTGTAGCATCGTCGAGCACAGGGAAAAGCGCAAAACGAAAATAGCGGGACGACAACAAATGAGGCGTTCAGAAGGCAACGGAAAAGTTTGGATCAAAGCACAGGGCCACAAGTCTCAAGCAGAGTGCAACGGCAACTCATCAAGATTCAGACCCGAGCAAACAATTATGAAAGCAAGGCGATTCAAACGTCGAACAAATCAAGAAGTAAGAAGTCCCAACGAGAGAGGATGGGAAAATGGGTGCAGGGTGGAGAGACACGGAGGAGGAGCAGCCTCGCGGCTATGGGCGTGCCGGTTCTGATCACCCGCACAACTCCTCCACACTCTTTGTCATGCCAAAAATCGGAAGAGATTGGCGGCCAAGGCAAGCGACTCAAGCAAACGAGCCTGTCAGGTCCTTGAGCATGCGTGCAACAGTCTGGACCTGCGAGCCAGTCTTGCAGCTGTAGTCAATGCCGGTGTAACCCCACCAATCAAAGCAACTGCAGGCCCCGAGAGAAACAAGCAACCAGCCGTTGTGATGAGCAAGGTACCAGCATTTCCAAACCGCAAACTCGCACATTAGCCCTCCACTTGGGGTGCATGGACACGAGGCTCTCGCAATCAAAAGGGGCATGATGCCCAGAGTGACGATGGGGGGGCCAGACAAAAAATACAACCAAAAAAATACAACCAAACGAAGGCAAAACCGAGTGGGACAACATACCCCTTGGGGTTGTAGGGAACCTCTTTGCTGCGGCGAGCCTGCGGGTAGAGGATGACAAAGTTGTTGGCCTCGGCATATTCGTTCATACCGGTCTCCTCAACAAACTGGGTGCCAATGGTTTCCAGGTCCTGGTTACAGCCGTGGAACACCACGTGAAGCTTGCATGTCAAGTTGCCGCTCTGGCAGGCGGTGGGAATGTACACGTAGCCCGTGTCGCCGAGGCTGATGAGCGAGGGCGTCTTGCTGACCACGTAAGCTGACTGATCAAAGCGCATGAGATTGCTGCTGTTGAAGCTCTTGGCCCGGGTAAAGTTTTGATCGTAAAAGTGTGTCAGCATCGAGCCAGCCGCATCGAAACCGCAGTTGTTGATGTAGGGATCACCCAGGTAGCTGCAGTTGCGTCCGGCAAAGTCAGTCACCCAAGCGTGCTCGGCAGGCACAGTGGTGCGGAAGATGAGCCGGTCCGAGCTGAGCCAATGTTGATAATACTCGTCCGTCTTTTGCACCACACCTGGTACCACAACCGTGTCCTTCTCGCCCGTGAAAACCCACACGCGATCCTCGGAAATGTACTGCAAGGGCAGAGCAGGCAGGTGGGGTGAGTGAAGGCAAGCTCTGCCTAAGACAACGCCACAAACGGGCCAAGTGCACGCTACGATCAATCAGGTTCATTTTTAGTTTGCAGATGGTGTCAAAGCTCACCTTGGGATCGTCAATGGTGTCCGTGGTGAAGGCATATTCGGTCGCAGCTACCCCGAACAAAAGAGAAAACAAGCATCGTTAAATGACCGAATGAGTGAGGCGGCCTTTGGGTCTGTTGTCCTCTGCAAACGAGTGAGCTTGGGGACGCACCAATCAGGTTCTCGGTAATAATCAGGTCAGGCATTTGCATGCAGTTGTTGACGGCAATGTCAACGTTGCCGGCAGCACAGTAAAAAGGCGGGCCGGCGATGATGCCGACGCCCATGATCGAATGCGAGTAGCTGACGTGAAACTGGATGGCAAAGGCAGCGCCCGCACTGACACCTAGGCACAGAAAAACACAAAGTGATCAATTTCAGCCAGCCGAGCCGCCGCTCCATTCCAGGACCAAGGCACGCCAAGTCTTGACCCCAAAGACTGTCGTCTGTATGACTGCCTGCCTGCCTTTTTTTTTTTTTTTTTTTTTTTTTTTTTTTGATCCGTTGTCTCATGTCTTGTTTTTTTTTGGAGGGAGTTGGAGACACGGGGAGCGGGGGCATACCGGACACGCTGATGGCCTCCATGTCAATGTTAAGCGTCGGCAGTTGCGGCAGGATAGACTGGGCAGCTGCCATGTGAAACATGCTTACAGCCACTAGGGCCAGCAATGCGGCCATGGTCTTTGAGCTCGCCATCCTCAAACTTGCCACCGTCAAAGAACAAGAAAAGAAAAAAAAAATGTCGAGACCAAACACACACACACACACACACACAGAGAAGAAGCACAAACATCAACATCAAACAGACCACATGACATTGAACTTATCATCATCACTACTCTCCAAACTCTTTCTCCCACATGCATGTGTGAAAACAAAACAAACCCAAAAAAGACAAGAAACGAGGTCAACCAAATGCATTGGAGAAAAGCAAAAGGGGAGGTTTGGTGGCGCTTAGGAAGGAGACCGATCCATGACGATGTATGGTGGTCGCGCGCAAAAAAAAATAGCAGGAAGCAGAAAAGGCCGTGTTCAACTAGCTAAAGGTAGATTAATACATGGGGGGAGCGATGGTCGTCTCCCAATAGCGCTGCACAGCAATCAAACATTCAAGGGATTTTCCTCCACGGTTTTATAGGGATTGAGGAGACCGTGCGGGTCAAGGAGTCCTGCCACGCGATAACCATAGAGACCAAGGCAGCAAAGGTCAGTGGGCACGTGTGCTCAAACGTCTGTCAAAAGGCACCCAACGAACAACAGGCTCAGATACACAGACCTTTGAGCTGGCGCATAAGAGTGACGTTGGCGGCTGGCTGCGAGTAATGCTGCAAGGTAGCCGCGCATGACAGACCAAAGTATCCGTCAACGACCAGTACGCAAGCACGTGGCGGCGAGCCTTTCAAAGCAACGTACAATATGGCGCGCCTTCATCAGGCCCAGACCATGTTCCGCAGATATGCTTCCACGGTGTTCCCCTGCAGGCGTAAACGGAAGCATAATGTAGCATTTCCAACGTGAGCTTTTCTAATGGCTGTCAAACGAACGGCGGGCATGATTGTAGTCAGGCAGGTCGACCGGGCGTACGCGTAAACTCGTAGACAAACGGCTCAATCTGTGCAAAAAGTTCCTCGCTCGCCGTGGGGCTGGTGATGTTCAAATGCAAGTTTCCTGGAGATCGAAAAGAGAAGAGCGCGTCAAAACAAGCAGTCAGGGGAAAACGCAGCAGGCGCCAAGGCGGCAAATTACAATCAAAAACTTTGCTAATACACAACAACAACAACAACCACAACAATAACAACCACAACAAAAATAGTTGGCACACACCGTCACCGAGATGACCAAAGCCAACGCAGCGTGTCGCCAGGTCGGCTACCCGTGGACGCATGGCTTCGACCAAGCTGTAGAGGTGCTGTACTGGCAGCGAGATATCATACTTGTAGACCACGCCGTCATGCTGCAGCCCCTCGGTGATACGTTCTCGCACCTGGATTCATTTTCGCACGACGATGCACATGGTTTTTGGGGAGGATGAGTTTCAAGCAACAAGAGTCCTGCGCCACCCCGACGCATCCTACCTGCCACAATGCGGCGGCTTGAGTGGCGTCCTGTGCCACTACGCCATCCACCACGCAGCCCGTCTCCATAGCATTCTCCAGAAACGCCTGCATAGTCGTTTAGACATGAAATGAAGAGGTAGCGTGGGGAAGCAAGACCACAGCTCCAACCCCTCATTGCTGCTTCTTCATGGCACAGGCCATCCTTTTTAGAACATCAAAGAGCCCTGACCTCGAGTTTGGCATAATCGTGTTCACTGTTGGAGCCATGTGTCTCAACTAGGACGTAAAAGGGTGCAGTCGAGTCAAACGGGTTTGGCACGTCCACCGTTTCATTGACGCAGCGCATGCCTTCGTGATCGAGAAATTCAAAAGCTGGCCCATGTTAACCACCGGCGGCGCGGGTGAGCACAAGATAGCGATGCTTCGAGTCAATGTCGCCCCAGCGCGAGTGAGGCGAGCGTCGATCGGACAAACCTGACAAGATCTCTCCCAATCCCTTCTGAGCTGCCACCAGCGTTTGTTGCACCTATGGGGTTTGAATTCAACACCAACTTAGGCGCGGATACAAATATCTGATGCACACGCGAGCCGGTCCATCACATGCCCCAAGTCAAGCGAATAAACGTGTGCCTTTTGTGGATTTCCAGCACTCACTTGGTCGTAGCCGGGGCAAGCCAAAAAGGCCACGTTGACGGCACTCGGCTTTTGAACGACCCCCATTAATACCTCTATCAAGCCCCATCGGTCACAGAGAGTTGCAATAAAAAACGAAACACAAAGCGACGGTGTTAAGAGTCGTCATAAACCGGCGTGCACACAGAAACCACAGGAAGATGGGAAACAGCGTGCTCCGACACAGACACAAATACGTACCCGTAATGATCCCGAGGGTCCCTTCGGAGCCGATGAACAACTGCTTGAGGTCGTAGCCCGTATTGTCTTTGCGTAAGCCCTTCATCGTATCAATCACATCACCATTGGGCAAGACTGCCTGCACACGCCCATCGCAGGACACGCACACATGCAAAAACCAAGACAAAACATGTCCAAAGATCAAGTGGAAACAATAAGCATAAGCAAATGAAAAAGTTCAGCCATGAATGGTGGAATATGATACCAAGTAGCCACCGCTTCTCCTGCTGAACCAGCCTGTCAAGGCGGGACAGACTTTCTGGAATATCGCAGCCAAGCCCACACGCCCAACCGTACCTTGAGGCCGAGAACGCTGCCATGCAGACTACCGTACCGCAAAAACCGGAGTCCACCAGCGTTGCTACTGATATTTCCACCAATTTGGCAGCTAAAGTCCAACAGATCAGGTTGACGAGGTCAGGCGATACTGGCTGGCCACGACCATTTGCACGTGCTCGAGGGCAGCAGCAGCCGTGCCTGCGAGAAAGAGATTACATACCTGCCCTTGGCGCCTAGGTCGAGCGGCATCATGAGGTCATGCTCTGCCAACGCTGCATTCAGTGTTTCCAACACACAACCGGCTTGGCAGGTCAACGTGCGCGCAACAGCATCGATGCTGAAAACATGTTGGACCCAGTGCACGATGTGAAAGCAAGGTTAGGCAGCAGAGCCTGTGTGTTTCGAATCGCGCCAAAAAAGAAGGGCTGACGAGCAGAGCAGGCAAACGCGAGACCAGCCTCACCCGTAGACTTGGTTCATGAGCGAGGTGGAGAGAATCAGCTCATCATGCAGTGGAACGGACCCCCCCACGAGGCCCGTGTTCCCACCTTGAGGGGTCACAGCCAGTTTTCGCTCGTGGCAGTAGCGCATGATCGCGGATACCTCCTCGGTGCTCCGTGGGCGCAGCACAGCTGCAGTTTGGCCTCGAAACTTGTTCATCCAATCTGCGCTTCATATTTCGCCCAACAAAGCCGCCATGAGTCGATCGATGCAAGCGTATACATGTGTATGTATGCATGTGGGTCCCGTCCTGTGTTTGCACGAGACTTGTGTGTGTATGTATGTGCGAGCCAAGGTTGGGGACCACCTTGGTTGTAGCTGGCTGTATCGTCGCCATTCAGCACGCGCCCCGGCATGATCGCCTCCAAGGCTGTTAAATCAGCATCAGAGACCTACAAGCGCAATTGGTGATCAACAGGTACGCCGAAATTCGAGCAAATCGATGCACAAGGCGAGTCTTCGAACCTTGTTATACGTTCCTCGCGAGATGTGGGCATATTGGGGCTGATCAACCGTCAAGCGCAGCGCTGCCGAACTGCCAAACCGAAGCCAGTTGCTCCAGCCATGATGTGCATGATGATTGACCTGAAGGGCCGTGCGTCGGGCCCCGGCTGCCACCAAGCCCGCCATCCTCGCAAAACCTGTGAGAGAGCAAAAAAAAAAAAAAAAAGAGAGAGAGAGAGAGAGAGAGTGAATTTAGAGAGAGAGAGAGAGAGAGAGAGAGAGAGAGAGAGAGAGAGCGACTGAACTCAATGTCATCATTTCATATTAGAGGGCCGGGTAGTGAATTCTCAATTTTGATTGTTGCCACCTTCGCGCCAAAATTTGAATCGACTCAATCAAATCAGTGCCAAGCGTTGTGCGTTTTGCTGCTCCCTCCGCATTGTTTCTTCTCGTGTCAGGGCGTGCACGAGGAACCAGAACCCGGCGCTTGGACGCTTTCAGGTGCGTGGCTGGCCAGTTGGATGTGGGTAAGGGGAGCTAATGCAAAGCTTTGCTTCGCTAGTCCGTCGTGACCCCGCTGGAGCAGATCCGCTATGACCCCGACCGCATATATCCCTCTCGACATGGCAGACTCAACAAAGCCAGTGCTTGGTCACGGACAGATCTGGTGCAAAGGGTTCTCATCCCCTGGTTGTAATTGATTTAGGGCTCATCAGTAATCCAAAGTGTCACCGCGGTGCTACCATGGCTCGTCGTCGCCAGTTTCTCACCGACGTCGTTGTCGGGCCCGACCGCGATCAGCTGCGTGCTGCTGCGCTGCAAAACCTTAAGGACTCTCACAAGTTTACGCTGCAGGTATTGCCAGGATCCTGTTATCGCCACATATGCCTTGGTGCTCTCATGTTCAGTTTATGTTCTTGCACATAGATGACCAAGGGTTGTAAGCACACAGACAATGTCTTTGAGTACTTTGCTACAAACTTCAAAGATGCCTCGTTCAACACTGAGTGAGGATGCATGCTTGTTCTTGCCGCCTCGGGCTTCCAATGAAGCGGTTAGCTTTCTCATGCATGCATACGCGTACTTTATGTGCAGCTGGGCGGAACGCACGATGCGTGTAACTCTGCCCATGCAGCAGCACACGATGACCACGCGACCACCGTCTCAAAAAACCGTTGTGGTGCCGGCGTAAGCAAACTCGATCAGTCCTCGACTTGCTCGACCTCATCAACAGTACCACGACACTCGCTCACTGTAAAGTTTTTTTTGTCCCGGTCCTTCTGAATAGCATTTTGCACGAAATCATGCACGCTCTCTTTGAGCTTGACTTTCTGTCGCTCGAAGGCATTTTTCGCGCCTCGGGATCGCGCGCTCGCGCCAACTCGATCATGGTGTGTCTTGCTACTCCTCGATCCATTACCTTACCCAAAGCTTCTTTGCTTCCATACCAAGGCAAAATATGAGATCATCTCGTCCCCTTCTTTTTGCATTCGCCCGCCCTAATCTGTCTGCTGTCTCGTTTGGCCCGAATGCTGAATGACACAGGCTCATATCATGGACAAAGGTAGCCTGCCACGCGAAATTCTCAACTCGGACGTTCTGCCCTTATGTGCCGTCTTCAAGGCCCTTTTGCAAATGTTTCCCGAGGTTTGTCTTGCGTCGGTATCCGTCATCCTCTCAACACCGGCGCTTCTTTCACCTGATACGTCTGTGGCGTCTTTGCAGGGTGTACTCTGTCGACATAGCAAAGCTCTTCTGGACCTCTGGGAAGCCACCGAGTCTGCCGATGATGAGCCCAGCGATGGTTTCGATGCTTCTCGCGTGTCCTCCCTTGGTCGCCAAAAGGGTCTGCACCTCGCCCTTTTGACCCTGCCTGGACAAAGCGTGAGTCCATCGCCGGGGTCGCCTACTCCGAGCTTCCGCGATCAAAGTCACGTTCTAATCACCCCCCTCCTTGTCCGCCTTCAATTTGACATCTAGCTTGACCTGTTCATGTATATCGCCGACGTCTGCCGCTTGGTATCTGATGCCGAGTCGACGACCCACATGGTCAGTTTTGCTGCGACAAAAGCAAACTGCTTTGGTCTGACAAGCCGGGCATTTCTTGCTGTTCCCATCCGGTGGTTGTTATATTCCACATTCTGTTCTTCATCGTGCTTTTTGCTCTTGTTCTCCTTGTGTGTTTGGCCCATCTGGTAACCGTTTCTTTCCTTGGCTTGGACGATTGAGCCAGTTCATACTCACTCCATACATGCGTCATCAATCGTTGGGCTTGCAGACGCTGGAAAACATGGCTGCCGTCTTGGCTCCAAACATGACACATCGCCAACACCATGACGAAGTCCTTCTGTGGCGTAGCATTGTAACCGAGCTCCTCCGTCGCTGGGACGAAGCCGGCGAGATATTGGGCAGTGTCAAGGCTACTGCAGACATCATGGCCCCAGAAACCGCTTCTAAGCTGCTGACGGTTCGTCACACCAACCACACTTTTGTAGCACGCCCCGCCATTAGCACCTGCGGTGTGTTTGACTGATCGTCAAATTTGTCTGCGTGGTGATCGGCCGTGTCATTTGCTTGGGTGCAGGGAATGATCAAAGGCGGTCGTCGTCGCAGCAGCCTGGGAGGTGCCATTAGCTGGCTCTTGGGCACAGGCAGTAGTTCTCAGGATGCAGGAGCTAGCAAGTCGCAACCTGCTAGCAAGCCTGCCACACCCTCACGGCCCGGGAGTCGCAATCGACGCGATCGGCGTCGAGGAGAACCATCATCTGCAGAGCGCAAGAATGAGGAGCCCCTCTCCCGCAAGCGCTCCGCCGAGGACAGCGGCACTAGCAGCTACTTACCGCGACTGGCCGCCAATCTATTTGATCCTCGGCGCATGCTGGGCATGGGTGCACCGGCGGCGGCCGAGGAAGATGCAGCAAGTCCAGTCAAAAAGTCGAAGATGGTTGAAACCAAGGCTGGCAACACGGGGCCCATGGCGGCCTGGGGAACCCAGTCGCAAGCGACCACTGCATCAGCTCACGACCCTCCCAAAGCCTGTTCTCCACGATCTGAGACCCGGCTCCCGAGTACGGATGGCGGCTCGTCAAACGGCAAGGTATCATCTCAACGTGTTGCACAGTGCACCGTCTTTTCAGGAACCTTTCTGAATTATCGTGTTCAATATCAACTCGAGCCCCCCTGTGTGTGTGTATGTGTGTGTGTGTGTGTGTGTGTGTGTGTGTGTGTGTGTGTGTGTGTGTGTGCCGCGCGCTGAATTCACTAGCGCATGACCACGGTGTGCTAGCAGGTGATCGACAGCGCCAAAAAGGCATTGCGTCGACTTCGCGGGGTAAGTTTTGTATTTGTTGTCGGCGTTCTGACAGGCTCGGCTCCAGCGTGTCAAGACTTGTCGCATTCATCTGATCACTGTTCACGCTTCCTCCCACTGGCTTGCAGCGCGCCAAATCAAACCCTGGTACCGCGACGTCTTTAGACGCGAAGCTCGGCCACGCGACGCGATCCGAAGAGGCCGATACCCATGTTGAAGGGAGCTCCAGTAACGAGTTGTTGCAGACACTACGCCCGTCCGGCAATGCGCGTGAGGGCTCCATACTCCAGCCCCTCTCCGTTGACGCGTTGCACCCGAGTCGCCCCAGCGAGCCCAAGCGTACCCGAAGCGGGCGCGAGTACAGCCCCATGACTTCACGCAAACCTCCCACAACTGCCACACAGACTGCTTCAAATGTCGCAACGCCCGTTGCGCCACCCACGGTTCGTGCCCGCCGCAGAGTGAGCGCCGCACATGGCTCCGCTACGGCATCGGCTTCTCGCCCGGTGACGCGAAGCCACCCCAACTCTGCAGCGCGCCAAGCGCACCGGGCTCAGACACCAAATGGCGCTAGCCCCCGCCGGCACGCCCGACGTGGTCTTGACAGCCCACAAGGCCAGCGCTCTGCCACTCGCGGCAATGGTCATGAAAGCCGAGGAAATGGCCCTTCACGCCCGCCTCGTCGCGCTCCTCCATCCTCATCGGGCGCGGAGAGTGAATCGTCACGTAGTGGTGTTAGTCACTACTCCTACCGCCGTGCCATTGCCACCTCCAAGGCCAGAGAAACCGAGTCGACGTCGCAAAAACGTGGCACTGATGGCTCCAGTCCTGCCAAGCAAGCTCGTCGTTTGCCCACGCCGGGCGGCAATAAGGAAAACAACGGGGACTATCCCGTGACTCTGCGAAAGGAACCTGCGCCCGCCGGTCTATCTGCGCGTCGTCGTGGCCTGATTGTGCAGTCTCCTAAAAATTCGCCAACCCAATCTTCTCCCCTGCGCCAAAAAGTACACAGTGCTCTCCCCCTCCGCTTGCCTCTGAGTCCGGGGGGCCCTCGCACGCGAGGTAAGTCGCTGAGCTCGTGCCAGTAAACGTGAAGTGCACTCGGCGAGGGATGCAGCGTCAACAAGGAGAGCGCAAGAGATCTGGCTCACACTATTCTTGTTTTGTGTGGGATCGATTGATTTTTCAGGTTCCTTTGGTATTAGCCGCCTTACTCTGGGAATGGCATCTGAGCTTGATTACGAGTCCGTGGTTTGAGTGCCTTGCACTCGCAACAAAGTTGCCGAGTCGTTGACGTACCAGGCCCACACGATTGCCTGCCTTGCCGCTGGGAGGGCTCTGCGTCAACTTCAATGCCCTTTATATATATCGTATCCTTTGTTTTCGTAAAGTGTCGACAGACTCGCCATCGGAATCTCATCATGAGCATTCTGAAGAAGACAAGCATGGCGACGCCTCGTGTTTATGTCTTTGATTATGATAGGTTTGTCACGATGCTGTTTCAACCCCCCCCCCAACCCCCCCCCCCCTTCTTTTTTTTTTTCTTTGTGAAGCGCATTAGAGATGAGAAATCGATTTCGTACATGTCATTCAAGCAACGACATCAGGGAACGACAATCAGTAATAGTCCAGGACAACAGGTCGTAGCAGTTCTGCCCCGCCGAAGTCGCAGACGAGCGACTAAGTAAATAACCGGGTGGGCAAACGGACACAAAACCGCAATCAAGGCTAACAACAAACAACGGCAACAGGCACAACTCAAAGGTCAAACCAAGAAAAGGCAAAGCCATCTACTCAACACGAGAATACAACTCAGCAACAAAGAAGCGCTGCAAGATCACACGAACAATGTAAAGGTCTCGATCCAAGAGTAGGGTAAGCAGAAACAAGAACAGGAACAGGACAAGAATAGCAACAGCAACGCGTCGAGCTCTTCACAATGTGCAGGCGACGTGGCGAGAAAAACAAAATTAGGCCTCAGGCCAAAGCGAGGATAAACAATATACATTGCCCTTGTCAAACGGATGACAGGGGGCACAAGGGAAACAATTCAAAGCAATTGTACCCAAAACACCAGCCGCTAGGCATGAGCTGGCGCGCGATGAGATACAAGGGGTCTCTCATTCGGCCATGATCCAGGGCATGGCAGGTTCCAACCACGTGGTTTCTGCGGTCTCCGTATTATACCAATAGGGACGCTTGCTGTTATCATCCAAGTAGCGCAGCCTGCATAATGGGTCAGATGAGCACCACCCAGTATAACGCGTAGCCGAGGACAAAACGAGGTAAGTCAGTTCGGAGGCACACATACCAAGGGGTGGTTGTAGTCGGCAAGGGTGGAGGTGGGGGCTTGGTGACGGGCTCTTCAACACCGGCCTTTAGCTGCACCTGAACCTTCCGGGATGACGCTTTCTGCGCACAGGCGGCAGCGAGGGTCTGCTGTTTGCCACCCTTCGACTTGTTGGCTTTGCGCGAAGAGCTTTGAGATGCAGACTTGGCTCGCTTGGTGTGCGGCTCTGCAGCGTCTGTTGCTGAAGTCGCAATTGGTTTAAGCTTGCGCTTAGCCTTGGCCTTCTTTGGTGCAGTGGTATCATCAAGAGCCGCACCAGCAGCTGCAGCCTCGGGACCTTCGCTGGTTGGGGAATTACTGCTCGGCTTGCACTCGTCAGCGTGCGGGAAGGGTAGATTGGTTGCTTGGTGAGTTTTTAGATGAGTCTCACTAACGCACCAGATCGGGCGAGAGCAGCCCTCGACCGTGACCTTGGTCACGAAATCGGGCTCGCGCAGTTGACGAATGATGGCAGCCTTGGGAATGTCTTCCTCGGGCAGCTCCTTTTGCAGGTCTGAGCATCGGAGCGCGGCAGAAGGCCTGTTTGTGAGTGGCGGTCTGTTCCTGACAGCGTGGTGTGTATCAATCGGGCGGGGCCACTTTTCAAGAACCGCTCTGCAAGCAACAAACCTTTCGCGATGGTCTTCATGCCTGTTGATCGGCCATGAATCATGTTAACCAGATGAGGCAAGCAAGCTTCGGGAAGGGTGGCAAGGGCAGGCTTTTTGGGGCTGCTGTCGGGCTCTTCTGGCTGTGTGAATTCGTCAGGATGAGGAAACGGGAGCTTGGTGGCCTTGTGGGTTTGCAGTTGCGCCTCGCTCACGCGCCAAATTGGGCGCGAGCAGCCTTCAACCGTGACCTTGGTCACAAAATCGGGCTCGCGGAGTTGTCGAATAACAGCAGCCTTGGGAAGGTCCTCATCGGGCAGCTCCGATTGCATTGCTGCAGCAAAGACAAGGGAGCCGGCATGTGACGAAGCGTTGGGAGGCAGATTGCTATGTGCGACCTGGTGGATTGTGTTATGAACAAATTCACCCCTTCGTACCTCTGGCAACAGTTTTCATGCCTGTTGAACGACCGTGAATCATGTTGACGAGGCGAGGTAGACAGGTTGCCGGCAGGGTAGCAAAAGCTGGCTTTTTGAAATTGCTCTCAGATTCTTCCGGCTGAAGATAGGGCAAGACAGGCGAGAGAGTCAGATCAGATCGGCCCAGACCTGTCTAAAGTGGCAGAGCAGGGAACGTATTGGTAAAGGAGAAGACTCAAGAAGCTCGGTCTGTCGTACCAAGATCTCGTTGACATCAATCGGGAAAGGCGTCAGCGGCTGAGCTGCATACTGGGAGAGGACTTGGTGATCAGCGGCCTCGGCACCAAAGACGCAGCCGATAGAGCAGGAGCGCTTGACCTCGGGCGTCCTGAAGCAAACAAATCAAGACCAAAATGCAGGCGGATTGTCAGAAGGGAGGGGCGTCTCTGACACCGCCTTGTTGTGTGGAACAAAAAAGAGTATTGACGCACTTGAGGGCTTCGTCGTCATCCTCGGCACCATCAGCACCATCACCTCCCTCATCCTCGGACAGGTAGCCATGAGGTACAATCCAATTGTCCTCATCCACATCCTCTTCGTCGTCACTACAAAGGCACGACACGCACGTAGAAGGGTCAGACCAAAAAGTCCAGAGCAGCACGCCACACAAAAAGGTCTGCAGTACACGAGGACAAGCACCCAAAACACGTGAACAAAAGCGGACGCACTTCTCTTCTTCGTCTTCATCGGCACTCAGGCATTCATCACCGTCATCTGGTTCAGGCTCCCATTCAGCTTCGCTGTCGTACTCGTAGTCCAATTGCTCATAGTCTCGGCCCACTAACAACATAGAGCGGCAGACGCAGACCACGCAGAAACAAGCAGGCAAGGTAAGCTTGGCGCACGAGGAGTGTGCGGCACACAGGGCTTTGCGATGGGCCAAGGTGACAGCCAAGCAGCATCACAAGTCCGATTCTGGTCCCCTTCCCAGCCGTCCGGCAAACATACGTGGGTTGCGAGCTGTCACTGTGGTCGAGTGCTTGGTGAAAGTCCCACGATAGGCCGGGCGCACATCCTCCCAAAACTAATGACCGAGCAAGCGGGAAGGGTGAGGTCATTTTGCCCTGACTCTACATTGTGGCATGCGCCAATAGTGCTTGCCGGTTTCCACAAGCCCATCGCAACGCACGAGAGAGCAAAAACTTACCGACAGCATTTTAATGGGCACGAGCTCTTCCTCCACTTGAATGTAGGCTGACCGGTCCTGGCGCGAAGTGCGGGCCACAGCCGATGTGCGCGGCTGTTGGCGAAAGCGGCGAAGATGGTCGTCCAGGAGGCTCGGGACGCAGGCGGAATTTTCAGCCTGGCCATGCTCAAACGTCTGCATCAGCCACAGGTCAATGTCCTCGATGGATGGGCGCTCCGAGTCTGGAAGTGGCAGGGGCGGAGCTCGTTTGCCGTTCTCTGGAGGTTCCAGGAAAGAAAAGGGGCCCACATTGGCACGCGCCTCCAACGGTTTCGAGACAGGCGCTTGCTTTTTCACAAAACGGCCCATGAAATCAGCCATCAACTTCTTGGGTTTCTAAAAGTGTTGAGGCACAGGGCGAGTGAGCACATTGTGGCGTGAGCTCCGGGTGGGACGAGGTTTCTGACCTCTTTCTTTTCCTTTTCTGCTAGCTTTTCCGCCTCCTACAAACAGAAGCAGCAAACGGACCCAAGATGATGAGATTGAGTCGCGGTTGACAGCGCCCCAATGTCTCCCAACCAATTCGACAATGGCGTACAGGTGTGCGGCTGCGCATGTACAACGAATCGCAGCAGCAACAGCCCCACGTACCTTGCGCAAACGCTCTTGTTCTTGTTCCTCCTTGCGTTTGACCTTTTCAAGCTCGGCTTGGCGGAGCTTTTCATTACGCTCTGCCGTCTTTTGTTCCAGCTCCTTTCGCTTCTCCTCTTGCTTCTTGAGACGTTCGGCCTCGCGTTCGGCTTTGAGGCGCGCACGCTCGGCCTCACGCTGGGCTTTCTCCTCGGCCTTTTTGGCCTCGCGCTCCTGCTTGGCGCGCTGGAGTTCAGCGGCCTTTTCTTCCTTGGCACGCTGGAGCTCAGCAGTCTTTTCTTCCTTGAGGCGTAAGCGTTCAGCCTCACGTTCAGCCTTACTCTAACGAAACAACCAGCCCAGTGAAATATACATCAAGCTCAGGTGGTGATATCAATCAAAAAAGAAAGAACAGGGGTGAAAAGCAGTGTCGAACGAGCAAGCGTACCATGCTGTTGGCAGTGCTGGCACGGCGGGGACGCTTGGCAAGTGGTGCCTGTAACCAATGCAGCAGAGTGACCAGGCGTCAAAATGGGGGGTGAGGTAGACTAAGCACAGAACGGTATCAACGTGAAAGACTTGAGGTGTTAGCATCCTGGACGCCAACAGACCTCATCCTCTTCGGGCTGAGAAGCTGTCTTGGAAGACTTTTTGGAACGGGAGCTCCTGGCCTTGTCAGTGGAGGCGCTATCCGAGGTTTGGATGGAAGCTTTCTTCTTCGTCTTCTTCTTCTTTTTCTTCTTTTTGTCGTCATTGCTAGCTACAGGTTCCTGCTCCGTTAGAAGGACGTCTTCTGATTCGGGGTGCAGCGCCTGGCTGTCTTCGGCTTCAGTCTCGGCTTCATGTTCTTCATCGTTGAGGCTCGCCATGTCCAGGGGAAGGCAAGGGGCATCGGGTTTGTCCCAGCGAGATTCTTCTGTTACGTGGTTGTAGTAGTAAATAAGGCCCTCATCAGAGCGGTGTGTGCTCCAGTCCGGGTCATCCTCGTGAACAGACAAATTGTCATCTTCACAGGGTTCTGCACGAGACTGGGCCTGGGTGGGGCTGGATGCTTTCGCTTGGGTCTGGGACAAAGACTCAACGAGATTGGGTACGTCAGCGTCGGGCGAGGTTGGGGCGTCGGCAGCGACGACGGTGGTCGCAACAACAGTGTCCGATGGGCTCTGTGCCAGCAAAAACAAGCTTGCGATTGGTCATGCCTTGGCTCAGGGGTTCGCGATTATCCTCCTCAGCGCAGCTGGATGGATTTTGACTCAGAGGCGAGTCTTGTTGAGCGGTGATGCGATGCTCGACAACGGTCTGGTCTGATTTGGTGGAGGCTGCGCTGGCCACAACGCCATTCTGTTTGGATTGCGGGAGGTGTGGTTCGGGAGCCGACTTCAGGTTGACGATTGGGGTCTCATCTGCGCAGGCGGCCCAAGGCATAATCAAGGTTTCGGATAAGACGGGGCTTCTCGAAAATCAGAAAAGGCAGGAACAGAGGACAGAGAGGTTATAGAGAAGGATGGCGGGAGGAAAAGAGCAAACAAGAAAATGACGACGCTCAACAAGGAGAGGAGAGGAACAAGAGAAACAGAAACACAAGGGTCCAGAAGCCATGGCATTGTAGGAGGCAAAGCAGTCGCACCGCGTGAGGTCAAAGCATGAGCTTCACCAGTCGCCAAGGAGCGACGGTTTTGCGGGCTGGCGCGCGAGAACAGGATCAGGTCGTCTGCCAACTCAAAAACAATAGCCAGATGAGTGTTCTTGCCAAGAGTGAGCGGCATCGGCCACCCAAGGTGTTCAAGAGTTGCTCTTACCAAGAGTCTGGGTCTTGGGCATGACGGCGGTCTGCTGCTGAGCCAGTTTCGAGGCAGATCGGTTTTGGCGCGCGATGCCGCTTCTGCCCGAGGACCCCTGAGAACAACCGTTCAAATGGCAGCTCGTTTCCACAAGCAGGACGCCTTGCCTTGGGCAAAAGAAGGCTCAAACGCGTCAACCGTGGGCGTGGGCAGGTCAAGGCTGCAGCCGACTCTGCTCAAGCAAGTGTACGGCTCGCCGAATCAAGTCGAGCCTGATCCTCGAAAAAAAAAGGGAAAAATGAAAAAAAAAAAAGTAACGGCTACTGGTTTGATCGGCGCGCGTACTCAGAGAGGCAAGTGAGAGAAACAAAAAAACCGCCGAGAACCGTAACGGTCGATCAAAATTTGTATAGTTGAGACGGTAAAAAGTAGAGCCAGGATGATAGCCTTCTCAGGAGAATTTTCTGCTGACAACTTGTGGGGGCCCAAGAAGCG